TCTCTCTTTTGAATACGTTTAATGGAAGCTTGATAAGGTGCTTATCCGTTTTCTAATCCATGTATTTTGACAAGCTAACACATACTAGCAAGGTTACTCTAGAGACAAAAGAAGGGGTAGAACAGCTACATAAGCGTCAGGACAAGCGTGACCGTTCTAAAGAAGACCGAACTATTTTGGACTGGCTTACACCTATTGATTTTACTGCTCAACAACACGATTACATCAGCCGGCGACAATCAGGAACAGGGCAGTGGCTCCTGGACTCAGACGAATTCCAATCATGGATCCAGACCGATAAGCAGACATTATTCTGTCCAGGCATCCCCGGAGCCGGAAAAACCATTCTTGCATCTATCTTAGTGGAAGAGCTTACCTCTCGGTTCCACGAGAATGAGAAAGTTGGGATTGCGTACATATACTGCAACTTCCGGCGCCAAGACGAGCAGAAGAAGGACGACTTACTAGCAAGTTTATTAAAACAACTCGCTCGACATCAACCTATTTTGCCAGAAGTTGTAAAAGATCTCTATAATCGACATAATGCTCAACGTACGAGGCCATCGTTTGATGAAATTTCTCGATCTCTCCAGTCAACAATGGCAATGTATTCTAGGGTATTTGTTGTCATCGATGCACTTGACGAGTGCAACGTATCTGATGGTTCACGGACGACCTTCTTATCAGAGTTGTTCAGCCTCCAGACTAAGTGCACAGTGAATCTTTTTGCAACTTCAAGATTCGGAACAGAATTCCGCGCGATCTTTCCGAACAGCTTATCATTAGAGATAAGAGCGAGTGAGCATGATGTACGAACGTTTTTGGATGGCCATATACTAGCTCTTCCGGGTTTTGTCAGACGCAGTCTAGATCTGCAAGAGGAGGTCAAAGGAGGAATTGTCAAGGCAGTTGATGGCATGTATGTGATTGTTAATTGCGTTACTACAAAAATACTAATATCGCCTAGGTTTTTGCTTGCAAAGCTTCATTTGGATTCCTTAGCAGGAAAGAAATCACTAAAGGCTCTTCGAAGTGCGCTAAGGAATTTGCCGTCCGGGTCTCACGCCTATGACTCTGCATATAAAGATGCTATGGTTCGAATCGAGGGACAAATAGCCGACGAAGAAGAGCTTGCTAAGCAAGTCTTATCTTGGATTACATGTGCGAAAAGACCATTGACTACAACGGAACTTCAGCATGCACTTGCTATCGAAAAAGAGGAGTCTAAGCTTGACCAAGACAACCTTCCAGATATCGAAGATCTAGTTACAGTATGTGCCGGGCTAGTAACAGTTGATGAGCAAAGTAATGTTATCCGTTTAGTTCATTACACGACACAGGAATACTTCCGGCGATCACAAGGCGATTGGTTCCCAGATGCTGAGGCGAGGATCACGGAAAGCTGTATCGCTTATCTTTCTTTTGAGACATTTCTACAAGGGTCCTGCCAAACAGATGAAGAGTTCGAAGAGCGAGTGCAGCCGAATCAGTTGTTTGCATATGCTGCACAAAACTGGGGTCATCATGGCCGTCTGGCTGTGACTTTAGACCACGATTTAGGCGTGGTAGTTGCAAACTTGCTGCAGAAAGAAGCCAGTGTTAGCGCATCAGGTCAGGCGCTGTTCGCTGTTAAGAACTGGTCAGGAGATACAAGCTATAGCCAGAGGACTCCAAAGAACATAACAGGGGTGCACTTGGCGGCATACTTTGGCATCAAAGCCGTAGTACAGCTGCTACTTGATAATGCTACCGAGGCCGACTTACAATGCAGCAATGGTCGAACGCCGCTATCATGGGCTGCTCGTAATGGGCATGAAGCCGTTGTCAAGCTGTTGCTACAGACTGACAAGGTCGATGCCGACTCAAAAGACAACAAATATGGTCAGACGCCGCTATCATGGGCTGCTGAGAATGGGCATGAGGCCGTTGTCAAGCTGTTGCTTCTTAATAATGCGGATTATGCTATAAAGAGTTACGATGGTTGGACTGTCATGGAATTAGCGGCCTTGAATACATATAATAGTATTGAACAGCTTTTAGTAACATGTGGGGTACCTGAGTCAGAAGATCTATATGGGCTACAATCTATGTTTTTGTAAACTAGTTCCTAATTTATATCTCCTTTTATAATACTAACCAGGATGGTTTATAAAAGCTGATCTTTGTATATAATACTGCTATTATAGAAAAACTCCCAAGGTAATTGATTCGTCTTTAATTGACTGTTTTATATAGATAGGCCACCTAGGTCAATATATAAAGAGTGTAGACACTAGAAACAAAGCAGATGAGATATAAGAGACTAGGACTCGAATAACTGAAAGGATCGGAACAGGATACTTAATAATGTTGGGCTATCTAACAAGTGTACTAGGTTTCCTCGTCAGTTCAAGCAGCAGGCCTTGCAATCATCCCCGTTAACAATTGTAGCATATATGTGCGCATTTCATTCATCTGTTCCTTTAAGCCTTCAACCTCGTTATTTAGTTGCTTAGCTAGAGCATGAGTTGAAACCATGTCTATATCCTGTGCTGGGCCTGTATTGATTACCTTGGTCTCCTCAAGAGGCTCGGTCTTTATTAGGTTGGGTCGCACGTTGCCGAAACTGGGAACCTCTTGGTATGGAACATTCCTCATCACCTTAGCCATATATCCCTCTGCCGGTTTTTCATACCTGGGTAGAATATGGCTCATAGTCGATTTACAGGGGCCAGCCGTGGTAACTGAGCCTGGAAGACCGAGAGTTTCTGGCTGAGAGGTGTTCCAACTTTGGGGATAACCTCTCGCTGTATTTGTTACGTCCAGGGATTGCCAGATTTGAGGAAGCTTCTCTTCCGCCATAGCTTGGTTTCTTCTCTCGGTGGGAGTCGTAGGTGTCTTTTTAATGAGCTTTTTGTACTCATCAACAAGCTTAAACATGGCCACATGAGTATGGTAATCGATAGTTCCCTGAAACTTGTCAACTCCCTCTTTGCCATCTCTCTCATTCTGCCGCTTGATGTGATCGTTTAGTTGGTCTAGCTCCTTCCAATTCCCAAGCCAGGGGTTCTCTATGAGGGCTTCCATATACGGTGTTGCTAACTTGTAGATTTCCTTTTGAAATAGAGTCGTCATCGCGCGTTCCTGAGTTTTGATCGCCCTAGAACCTTTGCTTCTCTCGCTATTGGTAGCATCCTCTCCTTTGTATTCGTCTCCATGTCTCAGCGCATTTGCAGCGTTTTCAACAACTTGTCACATTAGCTTTAACATAGAGGTGATATAATTGACATACTTACTTTGAAATGCCCTATAGGCTTCCGAAGAGGGGTTTTTTTTGGGGTGAACGGCAAGTGATTTCTCTTCATAGGCCTGGTTTACCTCCTCTGTTGTACATGTATCGGACACCGCGAGGATGTCGTACCACTCCTTTGGATCATATTTCAAGATGCTTCCAATTGCTGATATCTGATCCTCTGTGCATCCTCGTTCTCTATCTGCTTTCTTTTGCTGAGTGGTGTAATGGTCTGGCTGCCGGAGCAAATATGATGTAGATCTGATAGAGAGGAGATCCAAGAAGCCCCTATCCCTTGTATAATTCTGGGAGTCCGGAGGCATCTCAGCTATGTAGTTTGAAATCTTAGTCAGATAATTTCTAGCTTAGTATTTCTTTGATAAAGTAATGTCTGAGGACAAAGGTGTGATATTATACCTA